AACAGACACTAAGCAAACAACTAGAACAGGAGTAGAATCAGAGAAATGGACATCACATGGAGGGATTTCAGTGAGGAGGGGGAAAAGAAAAATGGGGGAAAGGTACAGGGAAGAAGAAGCATAATTAGTAGGCATAAAATAGATGGGGAGAGATAAAAATGGTATAGGAAACAGAGAACTCAATGAACTTCTGTGTACATCCCATGAACATGAACTAAGCAGGGGGAATGCTGGAGGGTTGGGAGGTACAGGGTGGAGCGGGGATAAGGGGGGAAATTGGGAAAACTGTAATAGCATAATCAATAAAAATATTTAAAAAGAATAAATAAATAAATGAATAAGTGCTTTACAAAAAGAATTGCAATGAAGAACATTGAAAAAGATCCAGAGGAGTGGAATTACAAGTGGTTAGTGTATTTTTTATTACACATTTTTTATTATCCAAATAGGTACTAATGAGTTTATATTGCTTTTACCACTGTGAGGAAAAATGAATGCAATAAAAGAGAGTAATACACAAGAAAATAGTAAGTCATTATTTACTTTTATCAATAAGAAAATCTGAAAGCTAGTTTGACATTGAATGATAATCTACTGATTATAAATATACATATTTGTGTCACATATATTATGTAACACTTCTTTCAATGGTCAAATGTTGAAGTGAATCATCACACTGGAAATCTGGCTATGTGAGAACTGTCTCTCTTTTACTAGTCACCCTTACTTGAACAATAATGGCACCCTGCTTCCCAGTGTATAGCCCTGTAAGGTGTTCATCCAGCCAGACAGAAATAAGCCTTGTAAAAGCACATTTCTGTATGAATGCTACTTCTCTGTACCACCTGCTATGAGCACCAGGATTTTTTATGGTAATTGTCAGTTGAGAGCTATTCAGTCCCCAAGTCTAACTTATAAAAAAAATGCCCAAAGTGTTCTTTTAATGCAACACAATATAATGACAGGGAGATTCATTAAGAATAACTGACCAAATATTAAAATATAATAAACCACCTGTGTAGATTCTGTTATTAACATCAATCCCCACTCCCCCCACCCTGAGAAATTATAAGAATCCTTAGCTAGATATAGCCAAGGAAATTATTTATGATTTGATCCTGTTGAACTCCTCTTCCTTTGTCTTCCTAGACCTGAGTTATTTGCTAACTCTCTTTTTTTGTTGTTTTTTTTTGGGGGGGAGGGGTAATTCTTATTGAATTTTATTCACTGGCTTTTGTAATCCCATGTACATCTTATTCTTCATATCCATCAAGACCCTGTAATAAATTGCTTTAAATCTTTTTCATTTTAGTAACCTTTGCTGTAAGTAGCTGAATAATTAGAATCAAAGTATCAAATGTCAGGTTGCCCAAGAATAGCTCTAGTGTGATGTGAAATTCAGCTCCTAACTTTGGTCCCCACTTGAGCCAGCAGGTTCCCTCATGGGAAAGTCAGGATGCCTCAGGCCTTTCCAGGCCTTGCTTTACCCTTCCGATACCTTAGCTATCACTGCATTCTGTCCTGTCCTCTGCTGGGTGGTCACCTAGCTCCCTAGGTTCAGTTAATCACCTGTTCTTTGATAAAACTATTCCATGATGATGTGTTGGCTGGGTCTACTCCCCTTCCTAGTGCTGACTCTCTTTCTGTTCCAGTAATGATTCACATTCCATAACAGTAAGTGGTCTTTGTTGTATGGAAGCTTTAATAATATCTCTTACAGAAAGTATCCATCTCTCTATAATTGTTCAAGGTTCATACTTTAAGAGTCTTTACCAGCTGCATTTCTATTGCTGTAGCTATTCCAGTTCCTCTTTTGCATCATAAACTCATGCAATGCTGAAATTTTAAGCAGTATGGTCTCTGTCAATGTGTGATTTTTTTTTCATAACTGCACTGCAATATGTGTGTGTTAGAGAGATGGTTGTCATGGAGGGAGGAGTACTTTATATTTCTTTCTCCACATTTTTTATTGTTGTTCAAGTACAATTGTCTCCATTTTACCCTCACCATTCCCCCCAAATAGCCATCCCCACTTCCCACCCTTGATCCTATCCCCCTTTGGCTTTGTCCATGTGTCATTTATACATGTTCCTGACAATCCTTTCCCTTTTTCCCCCCATTACCCTTCTCCCCCATCTCTGGTTACTGTCAGATTGTTCATTTCAATGTCTCTGGTTATATGTTTTTTGCTTGTTTGTTTTGTTGATACGGTTCCACTTACAGGTGAGATCATATGGTATTTGTCTTTCACTGCCTGGCTTATTTCACTTGGCATAATGCTCTTCAGTTCCATCCATGCTGTAGCAAAGGGTAGGAGCTCCTTCATTCTTTCTGCTGTGTAGTATTCCACTGTGTAAATGTACCACAGCTTTTTGATCCACTCATTTACTGATGGACACTTAGGTTACTTCCAGCACTTGGCTATTGTAAATTGTGCTGCTATGAACGTTGGGGTGCATAGGTTCTTTTGAACTGGTGTTTCAGGATTCTTAGGATATAATCCCAGCCAGTGGAATTGCTGGATCAAAAGGCAGTTCTTCCATTTTTAGTTTTCTGAGAAAATTCCATACTGTTTTCCATAGTGGCTGCACCAGTCTGCAGTCTCACCAACAGTGTACTGGAGTTCCCTTTTCTCCACAACCTCACCATCACTTGTTGTTTGTTAATTTGGTTATGATGGCCATTCTGACTGGTGTGAAGTGGTATCTCATTGTGGTTTTAATTTGAATCTTGCTGATGGCTAGTGATGCTGAGCATCCTTTCATATGTCTCTGGGCCCTCTGTATGTCCTCCTTGGAGAAATGTCTGTTCAGGTCCTTTGCCCATTTTTTCATTGGATTGTCTTCCTGGAGTGGAGTTATGTGAGTTCTTTATATATTTTGGAGATCACACCCTTGTCTGAGATATCATTTGCAAGTACATTTTCCCATATAGTTGGTTCTCTTTTCATTTTAATACTGTTTTCTTTAGCTGTGCAGAAGCTTTTTATTTTGATGAAGTCCCACATGTTTATTCTTTCTTTTATGTCCCTTCCTCTAGGGGACATATTGGTGAAAATATTGCTGTGTGTAATATCTGAGATTTTCCTGCCTATGTTCTCCTCTAGGACTTTTATGGTGTTTCTACGTATGTTTAAGTCTTTTATTCATCTTGAGTTTATTTTTGTATAAGGTGTAAGTTGGTGGTCGAGATTCTTTTTTTTTTTTTGCATGTACCTGTCCAGATGTCCCAACACCATTTGTTGAAGAGGCTATTTTTACTCCATTTTATGCTTCTGTCCCCTTTGTGAAATATTAATTGATCACAGAGACTTCAGTTTATTTCTGGCCTCTCTGTTCTGTTCCATTGATCTGTGTCTGTTCTTATGCTGGCACAAGGCTGTTTTGATTACAGTGGCTTTGTAATATAGTTTGATATCAGGTATTGTGATTCTTCCTACTTTGTCCTTTTTTCTCGAAATTGTTGTGGCTATTCATGGTCATTTATGGTTTCATATAAAATTTTGAAATGTCTGTTCTATATCTGTGAAATATGCAATTGGTATTTTAACAAGGATTACATTGAATCTATAAATTGTTTTGGGTAGGATAGACATTCTGATGATGTTAAATCTGGTTTTTAAATATTGAAAAGAATAACTTTCACACTGATAACCAGATGAAAATTTTGTTTTTGTTTTAGAACATATTACAATATGTCATATATCATACTCAGGAAAACACTAGCTTAGGGTTTGCTGCTTAACCATTTCATGTCCACTAGGCCCGCAATAGGTCATTTATTACAGATCTTAGTATTCTTATTAGAATGAAAAATTTGAGTGACAGCTGAGGTCATCTAAAACTGGGGATTCATAAACTAAAGATGATTGCTGCTGATGAAGGCATGTATATAGCTGTCAAATAAGAATATAAGAAACAGGATATTGACAGAGTGAATAGTGACAGAATATGATAGAACACTGTGTCGGTAACATGATTAAGAGAAAAATAGATATAGCAGCATGAAGTTTTCATCTTTTTAAAATTTTATTGAATTTATTGGGGTGACATTGGTTAATAAAATTATATAGGTTATCATTATATATAATTATATATCATACTCATATGATATATATGATATACATATCATAATTATATAAGGGTACAATTCTATAATGCATTATCTGTATATTGTATTGTGTGTTCATCATTCAAAGTCAAGTCTCCTTCCATCATCATTTATTTCCCCTTTATCCTTTTCTACCTGCCCCCACCCCAATTTTTTAATGAGAGTAATGGGTAGTTGTCTGAGGTACTTAGAATAATAGAATGTGTTTTAAAATAATTAGGTCTGTCTAGATCTTTTACAATGTCTATATTCAAAGTATCAGAATCTATCACTCTGTAATATATTGAAATTGCTTTCTTTCATTAAAGAGTAACATACATAAAATAAAACACAATAAGTGTACTAATCTGTAGGGAACCGATCTGCCTGGCAATGGTAATTGTAGCTCAGCCCTATTGAAAAGCCCAATAGGTGCATTGTGGTACACAAGAGCCAAACCCATGAATCAGTTCTCCCATGAGAAATCAGGCCCATATTATAACTAGGCTGCTTTGTGACTTGCTCTTGCTAAAACTCCCTCACCCTGAGTTGAGGCAGCAAATGCTTAAGGCATATCTCCAAAGTAAATTCCTAAAGTCTGTGCTAATTCTCCCAAGGACTGAAGTGTAACCAGACCAATGACTCTTATTGTTCCCTTGCATATGCAATATTTTTTCCTTGTTAATCTGTAAGAAGTAATCAGTAACATCCCTTCTATTGCTATCTGTAAAAAGTAATTACCTAAAGCAAGCCTAAGCATAATGAAGGAAAACCTTCTTTGATGTATGCTATTAGAAAGCCAATAAAAGCTTGTCAAGGCAAGGGTTGGTTCACTCTCCTCTTGAGAGAGTGGCTGTGCCATCCCTTTTCCTCCACAGGACTTGGTAATTGATGTGAATTTGTCTCATGTCTCATACACAATGCTGTGGACACTGTGGGCCGATGTCTGCATCATTAATCAGTGTACAACTCATTAATTTTTATATATGTGAGATATGTTACATATCTCACATGTACATGTAACCACAATGTAACAGAACAAAAGCAAAGGTTCAGCTGCCTGCTACCACAAAACCCAAACTCATGAGTCAGCTGCTGATGCTCCGGGTCCTATCCATTCATATCTCTAGCCTTGGACACGCTCAGTGTAAGAAACTCCCTCTGCTACCATCTTGGCCAATAGGAGAGACTCGCCAGCAATTAGACTATCTGGATAACAACAACCCAGATTAAGACAAATTTCTTGCATTCCACAGTCCCCTTGGTCCTCTAGTACTACAAGGCAAGTTAAAAGTAGTTGATTTTAACAGAACAAATATTTTGAATATTACTCACACTAATTACATTAGGAATTGCATTTCCCTATGACAGAGTACATAACACTATACTGTAAACAAATTAATGCATACTTTTTTTTCTCATGTAAATAAAAAGGTTTAGATGGAATAGAGGCTCCACAAAAAAATACCTTTCCTACTTCTGTTCAGCATGCTCTTATCCACAGTATGCTTGGTTGTTATGAGCAGAGCTCCAGACTATATCCAGGTGTGCTGACTACACTCCAAAAAGGAAGAAGCAGAAGGTGCAGTTGTCTCTGTCAGCCACTTTTCCAAGTTTTCCCTTATGAGTAAGAAAGAAAGAGAGGGTGAATAGTGGTTAATCGGCAATCTTAGCCACATCAATGGTCGCAGACTTCTCTCATGAATTACATTAAAAAACAAAACAAAACATTGTGCTTGCAACGGACAGATGCTATCTATAGCATCCCACAATGGGTGATGAGTTGTGAAATAAACACTCACAATCTCTACTAAAGACATAATATTAAAACATTTTGCAAAGAAAAAGTTTGATGAGGTACTGCTTTAAAACACGTTTGCCAAAAATAAAGCATAACTTCATGTTCTTAAGCAGAAAAATATTTGTGAAATCATAAAGAGTAAAATGAAAAGGATTTCTTTAAGGCCAAACACATAAATAAAAAAAAATAATAACAGGGTGTACATGAATTCAGGAGGGCCCACTAATGGAAATCTGGCCATTTCCAAATTATAACTTTGTTCATAATCACTAGGATTATGAGCTTTGATTTAAGCTAGGAATAATTATTTTAACTATCTGAATGGGCTAAAGTCTACAGATCCACATTCCCTTATCCACAATTATGAATTCATAAAATCTTTGAAAATTGAAAGTTTTTCACAAGTTGTAGTACCTGGTGACAAAAGCTGAGGCTACTTGTAGTCTGTTTTTAACCTCACGTAGTGTGATTATATTTTACTACAAAAATATTATTGTATTTGATTATAGGGTGCCATATCATATTACTACTTTAAAATCATGAGATTTAAGATTATCAGATTACTTGCATTTCATAAGTTTCCCTTGTTCTACTTAGCCTGCCACTGTACAGCAATTAAGTAATTCCTGGTTTTAACCAGGAAAATACTCAAGATTACTGACACTGATTGTATTAAAAATTACATTTGACTAATGATGAAGGGACCCCATAAATGGTGTTTCAAACAGATTAATGGCTTTCCTTTTCTCTCATGAGACAGAAAGATCTAGATGGAATAGAGTCTTCATAGAACCTAGCTTCTGAATTCCAAAAACATATCTTCCTTCACCACAAGGTTCTGAGAGGTAAAGATCTTAAAAAGTCTACTACCTAACTGGCTCAAAATTTGATTTCTTAAGAGATTTTTATTACTATCAAAGCTTACTCAAGGGATTACACACCATTGACTTGGCCTATTTTTAAAGGTTTTTTAAGCCCTGAAATCTAAGAAATTGAACACATAATTTCTGCCCATGTGGACACAGGATTTTGGTTTGTTAACAACCAGTTAGTAAATTAAAAAAGAATAACTGTTTTTATTCACATTATATTAGTTAAAATTTAGCTTTAATAATGCTTTACCTCACCCTGGCCATGTGACTTACTTGGTTGGATCATCGTCCTGTGCACCAAAAAGTTGCAGGTTTCATTCCATGAGGGCATATATCTAGGTTACAGGTTCAATCCCTGGGTGGGGCTCATATGGGAAGCAGCCTATTCATCCATGTTTCTCTCTCACATCGATGTTTCTCTCTCTTCTGCCCTCTCTAAAATCAATAAAAAATTTATCATCAGATGAAGATTTAAAAAAACACTTTACCTCATTGTTTTAATAAAAAGTTGTTCATTGAGTTTTGTTCCACTGATAGGAAATGTAAGGGTTTTTTAATTAAAAATACCAAATTCACCACTACCACAGATAAGCAGTAGTTGCCTAAGTTCTTCCTTTTCATTTTACTAGTAAGATGAATGATCTCTGATATTTGTTTCTTGTTCATAATTGTTTATGAACTGAGGCATAATCTATGGCTATAACATGCAGATGAAATGTGGATTTTTAAAAATATAATACCAAAACACTGTGATACAGCTATGTCATTCAAAATTAGGATGAAGTTGTTTTCTTCACCGCAGCTTCTCTGTATCTTATCATTATTTAAAAACTCCAACACCTCAAATTCCAACATTTTCCTCTTTGAATACAATTTACCTGCTTAGATATGAAACTCCTTTCTATAACTTGTCACTCTGCAGGATGTCACTACGTTTCTGACTTTATCGAATGTCTCTTTCTCTCAAAATACTGCACATTGGCCTTATAATATTCCCTAGAATACCCCAAGCTTCAGTTTGCCTCAGGCCTTAACACATGTTGTAACTTTTTCCTGGTCACTATTTCTCACGTATTTTTCAAGTGTGGCTCCTTCTCATCCTTCAAGCCTAGCTTCAATGTCACCTGCCTAGAAACAACTTTCCTTACAACTTTATCTATGTATTTCCCTTCCTGTTGTTCTCTAAGGCTGTACTATGTTTATTTCTTTAAATAGCATTTATCATAATTGACAATTATTTATATTTTTACTTGCTTGTTTCTCTGGCTTCCCACAAGACTAAACATGTCACTCTACATTTTACTTTTACCAAAACAAAAGATGTTCATATCATGTATATGATGAATATTGCCTCAAAATCTCTGAAGAAAATTCTCCTGAAGTATGTAGTCAGAAATATTCATATTGTAAAAAGTATACAGAAGGTTGTAATCTATAGATAATAAAATAGATAAAAGAATATATGTACATATATACATTATATTTGTATAATATGTATGCATATGTACATACATGTGTTACATGGGTATACGGGGATGAAGAAAGGGATGGGAGAGAAAAGAACAGGGTAGAAAAACGAAAATATAGTGAAAATGGCCCCTAGCAATTTTTTCTATTGGAAGGAAAACTTTAAAATTTTCTGAAGAATTTTAGTCCACTCTCTTCAGTAGATGACTTCTTTAAAACGTTTTCTTAATTTCAAATAAATGTCCTTGAAATTTCCTGTCTTAAGGTCACTATTACTGAGACCACAAAATAAAATGAAAATATGAATATTTTCCTTACCATAATTATTCATTAAGTACATCTGAATTTGAGTTGTTTTCTACTTCAGTTGACAGTAGAGTTAAGGCAGTAGGTACAGCACAGAAAAGAGGTCTAGCTCAGGTTCTAGCTACATTGGTCTAGAACCAGGTGACCTGCTTGAAAAGTTCAAGGTTTCCCTGAATACATAGTAGTGAGCTCTACCTCCTGATTTACCATGGACTGTCCCTATTTATTCCAGTCATTCTATAGTTAGTAATATGCTCCCTTTCAATCTCAAAAATGTCCTGGTTTGGACAATAAATTATATAGTCACCCTACCTATAGGGTTCTCTAAGAATTTTACCTATCAAATGCCAGGCAAGAATAGAAATACCAAACTGTGTGTCTGGAGGAAGGACTCCTAAAGAATGTAGGCAAGTACCCACCCTTTCTTCACCCCTTTCCTTTAAACCCTGTTCTATCCTTGGATCGTTAATAATTTATTGGGCAAAGAATTTTATACTGAATATGTTCAATTAAAACATATACTATGCAGTATTTGACAAATTTTGGTATTTGCTGACTTTTGTGACTTTACATTTTAAATCATAGTGTAGCATTCATTTAACTTGTTTTTTTTAGGTTTTCAACTTCATTTTTATTTAAAAGCCCAGTTGCAACCAAGCACCTAACTGGGCTCATTTCCCAGCTCACTTAATTTGAAAGCCTGCCAGACTACGTGAAAGACCTTATAAGTCTGTAAAGCAGGAAATTCAGATTACAGTCTATTAAATTTCTAGTGATTGATGTTCTTTTCAAAACAATTTTTTAAAACTAATAAAAAGCCACACATTCCAAGACCCCGTTACCAAAGGTTTCACTGGAGTTCAGCCTCGGACAATGTACTTGGACTACCGTATTTACCCTAGATTTTTAGCACTTCCGGCAGGCTGCGAGAAGGCACCGTGGGCGGGCAGGGCCATCTCGGCCATTTTGTTTGTGAGGCAGAGGGCAGGCATTCCACCCGGCGGTGAAGGGTTTTGAAATAGAATTTTGAAGGAGGAAAAAAAGCAACTGTGGCTACTGATTTTAATTTGACGCGGAAACTATTATTTTATCTTTAAGATTCTTTCCAGGAATGGTAGTTTTTATGGCTAACAAGTTTTATTTTTCCAAGGAATTAAAGCTCTCCGAGTAAATGGGTCGTGAATTTCTGCAAGGGTGACTGGCTTCTTTGGGTACTTTAATGATATCAAATCAAAAATGTTTTGATGGAGATAGTTTTCAAAGGGCCGTAATTGTATACCAACATTTGTGAAGTGATAAACAGTTTGCTTAATATAGAGATTATATTCTGCAAGAAAAGCCACATACAAGAAACACGAGTGTTTCTAAAGATATTTAAAAAGGCATTTTCCTGAGATAACAGGCAGTCGTAGGTGCTATTGTTTTGCAGTGTCACCTAATAGCGAGCTTAGACTTAAGTTCTTTGGACGGCTGTGCTTTCAAAAGCCTGGTGTAAAATGGCACACACACCGCATTTCTCTACGAGCCGCAGGGGGCGGGGGGGACGGGGGACAGTGCGGCCTGTGGGGACGCTGCCCTGCCAGCCAATCAGAGCGCGCCTGCTCGCCATCGCAAAGTTGTTAACCCCAGAGTCTTCTGGCTGCCGCTGCCTACTCTGCCTTTAATCTTCGTGGATATTTCTCCGATTTTCCCCAAACGCCCACAGATTGTGGGGGAAGCCACCCGACTCAGCCACCAATCATGGAAGAAAGTATTACTTTTTATTTACCAAAAACCTTAAAGATGTTTCAAGCTCCATATGCTGCCTGGAGGCTGTCGTTTCTAGGGACACAAGTATCCAGCCTATATTGTTACAATTATTTTTCAAGGACTGGTTTCTTCTTTGCCTTCACTAATGGTAAGTTTGTAATTTTAAATATTTGTATCATTAAATCTTTGAATGAACCACCAGGTAAAAAAGATTTTCATTGTGTTTCTTCCAACAAAACCAATCTTTGTATTTTTCTTTAGGTTTGATCTACAGAATACACCTCATCTTGTCTAGTTAATTTTTACCAAAAGGAAAAAAAAAACAGTTTCTTTTTCATTGTTAAAGCTGAATATTTATAATATAAATTACACTTTAATTACTGTGAACCATGGAAGAACTAAGCTATTTCGAGATGGACTTGTTTTGTGCCAGCAATGTTGGTAATGCCAAATATGTGCATATCCTCTTTAAAAAATTATGTATTACCTAATTTGTCCAGGACTAAATTATCAGCAGGCAAACTATGGATGTAGTTAGCTTTTTGTATTTTTTTAAAGCCTATTGTGGTTTTCTTGATGAATTGCTTGGACAAACTAAAGAAAAGCTGCCCTTGGTGTAATGAAGGTGGAGATTGACATAACCGGGTTTATATTAAGTTATGGCTGTTGCTAAATAGTGGATCTTTTATTTGCTGATCAGATCTAAACTTGTATTCCATGATATTAATTCTTTGAAGCACTTCATTAGATAATCTCAGATCTATCTTGTTTTTGTCCAAAAAGGTACATTTGGTAGACATTTTGTAATTTTTGGCATTTTTCTAATTTTTTTTCTTTTTGCACACGGTGAGAGATCTTTTTTGTTTTGCATTGATCTGTGTTGGTGGCGCTGTAATGCTTCTTAACAATTTGTCAGTTTCACTAAAAGAAAAACGGAGGCAAAAGAGGTGGGGCTAGATTTGATCTATTACTTTATCCCTTTATTTCCTTAAAGAAAGTTCAGTTTGTTCAGGAGAAATTATTCAGTCGTATGTTTTAAATATTTTCTGTGAACTGTGAACTCTGGGCGAGAGCAGACATGTCCTCACAACCTGTCCAGGGAGCATCAGACACAAGCATGCAGTTGTGTTTTATCTGATACGACTATCTCTAAGTCAGATTTCTTCAATAATACAGCTACTGGTTTACCTTCCCTTTCCTCAGTAACAGTTTGCTTTTTCCTTATATTACAATATCACACATGTTAATGTCTTTTCAATTTAAGAAAATGTTTGAATTTTAGTTTACTGGATATTGTAAAAGTTGAATTTCATGTTGAACCTAGGAATTTCTTAACTCCTCTAGTCATTTAATTTGCTAGTAGTTTTCTAGTAGCTTTCTCCTGGGAATTGTCTAGTAGTTTGACATACATAATGAAGCCTCCATTATTGTCTGTTTTATTTTGAAATGATACTTCACTTTAAATTTATGTATATATTTTTAAAGGCTAATTTTTAAAGAATATATATACAACTGCTTTTAACTTTTAAAATATCGGTATCACATGTCTAAATCCAGGATAAATCTTTTCCATCCTTGTCCTTATTGAGAGTTATCTGGTTAGAGAATATGGGATTTAGGCCCAAAGCCTCACAAGAACAAAAGTGTATATGACAATATGACATAGGTTTTACTAGCCCCTGTAAACATTTTAGTTTATGAAAATAGTATGTCCTTTGTTTAAAAAGAAAGTGGGAAGAATCATTAGTTGTGCCTAAAATATATATTATTTTGCCAAATAAAATTAAAACTGAAGTAGTATCCTAGACCACCTTTTCATACAATAGAGTAAATTATTTCTTGAGGATAAAAATTTCTGAGTTATTATTGTGTTTTTCTTCACTTTGACATACGAAGTGCTCTTTTCACTAATCATTTAAAATTCCAAAGTAAAAGACTGTGTACAAATGACTAAAAATAGTATTTCTGATCTTTGTGTCCCTATGATTCACCTGTTTAAGATCCTTTCCTTAAATTTCAGAAATAATTATGTATTACACCTATATTTTGTTTATGCTATGCTATGAAAATTTGAAAATGTTTATTCTAACATTTTATCTCTTGTAAAATTTGAATGTCCCTGTCAAAACTAGTTATGACATTATAGATTATTTATAGAATGAAATACTGCAGGCATAAATTTATTACTTAACCCTCTGGTTATGATGGAGAGTTTAGTTCTCTAAAGTTGATCTGCTGAATAAAACATACTTGCCAGTATTTTTCTTGCTGAAATATTCTGTTATTCAGATGGTGACATTTTAAATTTTAATTTGTGAAAACTAAAAATGTTTATATAAGGTAGCTCTCCTTTTAAAGAGCAAATTGATGCTCTGAAGTCCATATGTAGCTATGCAATGCTCTTTGTTCTCCCAACCATTGACTATTACATCACTGATTATGAGTAACCAGTATAGTTAAATCTTCACTTTAAAAGTCATCCACAAATATTCTTATTAAAGATATTATTCTATCTGTGATTCTTAAATCACTATGTATGGCAGGCGGTTTAAATCTATGAGACAAAAACAATTATAATATTCTCCATTTTAAAATCTATCTTGTGCTTCATTTTAGCTAATTGATTTTTTGGATATTGTCTGTTTCTCATTGACAACATTTTTGTAGGTATTTCGTTCATAAGCTTGGCATGATAATGATTAGAATTGTTATAATTATGCTTTTATCATGAAAAAACCTTTATTAAATGTAGCATATGGAGAACTCAGTTTTCCATAGCAACTGTTACTAGATTATGAACAAAGAATTATTTTTTAAAAATCCTAAATGTCATTTTAGTCAACAATTACTATTTCATTCTTGCACACCATTTATCAAAGATTTTAACAAGTACCAAATATGACTATATTAAAATATATCATTTTTCACTCTGCCCATCCTTATGATGGAGGGAGGGTAAATGAGCAGTGAAATTGCAAAAAACAGGTTGCAGGAAGAAGACATAAGTGATGCCAAAGATATGAAGAATTTGTAAATCAGATTCTAAACAATAAACCTCAAGAAAATGAACTTGAAATTATGGAGGCTGTTCAATAACAAATAAAATGTAATGAACCCACATAATTTCCTAATTTGTTAATGTGTATTCATTGGTATTGCTGAAGGTTGAGGAAATTTTCAGGTTAGCCAAACCTTTTAAGAAAGATGAGATAACAAAGGGAAGAAATATTTATAGAGATATTAAGATGACCTAACATAAAATGCTGAAAATATCAGCCAAGACCAATCTAATATACTTTGGAATGAACTCTTTTAGAAGAAGGAAAAATAGCTTAAGTTTTTGCCCTCTGAAGGCCTAGTTTAATACAGATCCGAAATTGTATGTTCCTAATTCTACCTAGTTCTTGTGAGTATTTACTATACAGATTCATTCACTATTCTCCTTAGCATGGTTTTGCCAACAAAGAGAAAGGAGAAATTATACACAAACTGGGTGTTATGACTTTTTCTGTACAAAAATATTCTCAAATGGAGAATCTAAAGGGAAAGTAAAGCAAAAATGGTTACTTTATGAAAAAGGTGAAAAGGGTACTTTATACTTGATTTATTCAACATTTATTTTTATTTGGTGGTTGGTTGGTCCTAGATTTTCCTCCTATCTGTTATGTGCTGTTATGCAAAGATGCTAGGATACAATATTAATAAAAGAGGAAAGGATCCCCTTTGACGTTTACAGTCCAGTATGGTTCAAAGTTCTAAGGATACTTTAAATCTAAGGTCTTAGATGTGAGAGGTTCCCATTTGGGAATAAAAGCCAAATAAGGTCCCTAAAGTAAATTTTTAACTTAATTCTTTTTAAATAGACTTTAACAAGTGTCATACTACTGAAGGGCCATTATTTGGGTACCAGATTTCACATACTGAGGGGGAAATAGGCCCCAGATTCTGATAAGGCCCAAATAAATGCTATATAAGTAGATGGTAACCCAATACAAATTCCTAGTGCAAAGTGAGAAATAAAACATTAACTTACTTGTTTGAAAAGAGAGACAAAGAGGATCACTCTGGAAGTAAGAACTTGGGCATGTCCTTGTGAGATCCATTTAATGAAAACTTAAAAAAAATG